CAATATCAGTTTAAAGTGCTACCCTTTGGATTAAGGAACGCAGCAGCAACTTTTCAGAGAGTAATGAATAACGCGCTGAAAGAATTTCAACAATTTTCAAGAGCCTATATTGATGACATAGCTATATTTTCCACGGATTTCGACACTCATCTCCGACATCTGGATAAAGTTTTTACCAAACTAGAGTCACTTGGATTTACTATCAATTCGAAGAAATGTTCGTTTGCAAAACCTCAAATTAAATATTTAGGACACATCATTGGATCAGGAAAACATCAACCAGATCCCGAGAAAATAGAGGCAATCAAGAAGCTGGAAACGCCGAAAACGAAAAGAGATCTTAAAAGTCTGTTAGGACTATGTAATTATTATCGCGATTATATCCCAGGGTATGCAGAGATCGCCTACCCACTCACAGAACTCACGAAAAATAAACAACCGGAAATACTCGAATGGAAAGAAATTCATGAGTCAACATTTCAACAACTGAAGGAACGATTAGCGATGTCAACGGAGCTGATCACCCCAACACTGCAGGATCCGTTTGTCATTCATTCTGATGCATCCCAAATCGGAATAGGTGCATGTTTTGTCACAGCCATGGAGGTAGGAAAGGGAGGAGGGGCCATTCCGCGCTAGAAGTGAAGCACTGCTTTGAAGCTTGGGTCACCAGACGGGGTGTTATTTGTTTACATTCAGAAGTTCGCTTGACAAGATTCTGATAGTATTTCGACACACGACAGTTCCATAGAAATCGAAAAAGGGACACTCTCGCATGAAAGAAACATTCATAGTGGGATGGATAATAGCAATTTGTATAGTTTACTGACATTTACGCAAAAATCACATCTTGGTTATTTTTCGATAACTAACAACATCGATTTTGATTATGAATTTGTTTTGGGTTTTCATCCGCAGAGAACCCGTTGGGGTTTCGGGAAAGAACCCTTTGGCGCCGTTGCAGTTTTACTCGCCAAGCTGAGCCGAGCCGTAAGCGTGATATTCTGTAAACGTGGTTTCTGGTGATGTAAATTCAGGTTAGCAGACAATGGTAGTAGAAATTCACAGATAATAAGTATGTAGATATAAAACTAACAGGTTAAACGTGATATACGAAAATAAATTTCTATTAAATTCAAGTTAGCACAGAAAACAATGTATTAAACATAACGAGAAGTAAAAATTCATTTAAAAAATAACAATTAGTTTTCTTATACTTACGTTTACATATACTTATATGTATTTTCTCTAATTCATATAGAATACTAATATTTCTATTACAAATGTCTTTTTTCACTATTGAGTACTTTGCCTGTTGATTGATGTATTTCGGTAAGAGCCCATGCCCATGTAATAAATTAATGAATGCATGACCTTTAATATATCCATTTTACATAGTTTTAAGTATTTTTTTTTTCAAGTTACTTGCATACAGCTTAAAGCATTTTACGTTGAAACAAATACCTATCCTTTTTCATAATATATTTCACAATACAAATAACCTTCAACAGTAATCAAATTTTCTTCAGTAGCATTTTTAATAAAACTAGAACTTTATACATTTTAAAATTATTATAGGGATTGGAAACCTCATGGATCTGCATGGTTACAGCTGTTAATAATTAAGAACATAACGTGAACAGTCATGTTACAAATTAGCATTCACCCCTCCCGCCATAATTTCTTCCTTTGATGCCGAACTGACGACCCGAGAACCGGCATCTTTCGACGAAAACTTCTTTAATTACGCGAAAATATTTCTATCTATTCATTGTTAAAAAATTCAGAAAAAATAATAATTAACAAGAGAAACATAATATAAATCTCCAAATGCGAACGACAACCTTCGCATAAGCGAATAGGATAAATTAGCTAGGTTACCAGGTTTGAACTATTATCGCCAAAGTTGGCGATGTTTACATTTACCGGGTTCTCTGCGGAAGTGCTTCCTTTGTTTTATAAAATTCTAAGCTGTTGCACTACAAAAATATAGATTTTAAGAAAATTGCTAAAAGAGATCTGCCAAAATTTATTTTCTAGAAGATTTGAAAAGTTTGAAAACTTGATGGCTAAATGTAATATAAAATTATGTATGTTAAAATATTTGTAATTAGGCACATAGGTCAGATTAAGTTTTTATTAAATGTAGAGTGTAACGCATGCAAGGGCTATCTGCCTAAAGAGAGAGATGCCGTCGTGGAGGAATTTTGAAGAAAAACTGACCTTTGAGTGGGTATTAAAAATAATACTTATAATTTTCATTCAAATTATATTCATATATATTTTTTATGTAAAACTTTCGGGTGTATGCTAAATTAGTGTAAATTACTTTACACGAAAAATATAGTGAATGCACAGAAATTAAAGATTTGCACATGCCGGAAATGATAAATAGGAAATATGTGTGGGTATTTATGCATGTGCTTGCAAAAAGCATGTATCTGCCTTTGACAAAATGCTTAAATATTCATTAAATTATTTATAAATGTATTTGAAATGAAGAATTTATTCACTTATAAAAAACTGTGAAAGTACTGTGAAGAAATCTAATGATTAAATGTATCTAATTCATAATGATTATAAATATTATCTAAATATATAATAACCTTAATATTGAATTGTAAACATAAATTGAAATCCTGTTGACAAATACGTTATAAAACTATTTAAGCAAGAATTGTTCGTATTGGAAAGCAATCTGTTAAAAGGTACTGTAAAGCAAATGCTATGAGATGCGCACTTAAGAACGTAATAAAGAGTTTTGGAATATGTATTGTTGAAATGAAGGGTAAAAAAAAATCTGATAAGTATAATTAAAAGAATTATTCCCTTTACATTTTATAATAACTCAGTTACAAGTTTTAAATAATACTTAAAAAAAAAAAAAAAAAAAGTATTTTATTCCCTTTCAGAAATGTTCAGAGAAAGTCAAATACTATTTAATACATATTTAATTATTAGGAATTAGCGAAATACTTATTTAAAGTATTTCGCTAATTCCTAATAATTCTCTAATTTAAAATGAACCGAATAGAGCATTAATTATAAATTGACTTACATTTTTCGATTTAAAAGAAGCCAAAAAATCATGTCATATTTAAGAAAGTATTTTAGGAAGAAGCTCTATAAATAGAAAAGAAATAATGCATAATTTTAATATTAATAATACAATAAACTTTGATCTTAATTTTTGTACCTTAACCGAATAAAATCGAATTACCTTAATTTTTTTTTTCTAATGTAATTAACGAAAACTTGTGAAAATATTTTCATTCAAATTAAACCATTCTGAGAAAACTGTCCTGTGAAAAGTATAGCATTTAATTCCGTTCAGAATGAAATGTTGTTTAAAAATATGTTGTTTTCACATACTTAGGACACTGAAGTGTTGTAGAAAAAGAAAATATATACATTTATATGTATATTTGCGACGTAATTACAAAATATTTACACCCGAACGCGTCAAATCCCATAGAACTCAATGGTAAATGACCCAATGTTTTGGTCACCACGTAGGGATGGCCGGTGCTTCAGAGCAGGGTACGGAGAAACTTGTTTAGGGCGACTCCTTCTTACTTCCTACCTCCATGGTCACAGCAAAGGGGAGAGAAGCAATTTCCCATCTGCTACGCGAGCAAGAAATTATCGAAACCTCAACAGAGCTGGCCGACTATAGAGCGAGAAGCTTATGCTATAGTATGGCATTGAAGAAGTTTGAACCTTGGATATTCGGTTCATCGGTGAAAATTGTGACTGATCATAATCCTCTAGCCGTTTTATAGTGAGAAATGCTCCGCAATCGTCAAATTGCAACGCATCATATGGCGCAAACGATGGGCCATAGCTTTGCAGAAATATAATCTCGAAATAGAACATTGCCCTGGAAAAAAACTGTCAAACGCGGATGCATTATCCAGACTTCCCACTTGTGAACTTTGAACATTAATTTACTGTCCATCTTCACGAACATTTTGTATAGTTAATAATTATATAGTTTTCTTTGCTTTTCATAATCATTTTACAATTTTGTGCAAATAAGATGTTTATGTAATTTGAAATAGATAGAGAAATTATTGGATAACAAATATTCGAGGTAAGTGGTAAATTTAGATATTTGTCTCCCAAGGATTTAAATCATGCTGCAGCATCATTAATTAAAGGAATGTTAAGAATATAATTTTATATATATATAAGAAACTTAATAATTTTACTGTCATCATTGGAATAATACTAGGGTATATTTTAACATGTTTATAAAAGAAAATATCAACTTGGTTTCTTTGAATTAAGAATTGATAAATTGTTACAATAATAATAAGGTTCGGAACAAGTGAAGTTAAAAATGATTTATCTATGTTTATATATAAAAATGTGTTATCTATGTTTATGTAGTAAATTGAGGTATGTCTATAGTAATTGAGATTTGAAAATTAGGAGAGAATGTATAAAAGTATATGTAGTTTTTTTTTTCTTCTTCTTCTTTTTCACGTTGATCGCAAACAGTTGCTAGATTTTAGTTTCCAGATTGCTGATTGATTTGTAAATAATATCAACAACAATCTTACGACGGGGGTGTGATATCTGGCGACTGTTTGGCGATCAACAGAGCATGCTTGGCGCAGGTAGCTCTTCTTCGAGAAGGGTTAATGTATTTATTAGGAGTTGCATGTTAGCCTCGGAAGAGGAAGGTAGTAGATTGTACTATGCGGTAGGAGCGACGTACTGCTCTGAGTAACTATTATATTATTATTTGAATTATATATTTAATAAATGTTTGTTTCGTCTTGCTAAATGGTGCCTTGTTAAACCACGAAGTCATCACAATGCCTTATAAGGTATACATTACTGTATACCTTATAAGGCATGCGGATTTAGAGCCCCTTTTTTAACTTTTAAAAATTTACATTTGTGTTTTTGTAATGCCCATACATACACAATGCTTATAATTAAAATAGCGTTACCCGGATTGAGAAAATAATCCCATTGGCTTATATTTTCAGGAGAGCATACGGGGAACTGATTTATCGATTTTTATAGACAGGTAGATAAATGAATGGATAGGTAGTCGATCGACTGATGGATAGAAAGTAGGTAGGTAGAGAGACAGATAGGTTTAGTTTCGATTGATTTATTTAATTATGGCAAAGTATTTACGAGAGCTATCTTCCTAAGGAGAGGGGTGTCTTCGTGGAGGAGCTCCTAAGGGTCACTGGCTCGTATACAAATTACACATGGGTAAAACCACCCAAACGCCCATGCAGCCAGCACGTTTGCAGGATTCGGACCCCGGACCGAACTACGACTGTTCAACAATTTTACCACTCGGCTGCTGGTGGGCTGGAGACAAGTAAGCAGATAGGTAGGCAGAAAATTTTCAGATAGATATATAGATGTAGCAATAATGATAGATTACGTATTGTTCAATAAATTCTGTTTCCAGCCAGAATGTTGGCAATAGGCATGAAAATGTCAATAGAAAAAAAAAAAAAAAAAGAAAAGAAAAGAAAATCTCAAATGTTTCAGATTTTAAATTACGTCCAAAGGTTCGGTTTTTTTTTTTTTTTAAAGTTTTGTGTTTTTTAAGCTTTTAAGTTACCTTTATTTATGAAAGATCATGTTCTTCGCAATTAAACCATAAAATTCAGTTCAAGAGCAATATCGCAAAATAATTTTAAATTGAGCACATTTTCAGAATTTCTGATACACGTGCTAGAGATGAAAATGATTTTTCTGTACAACGTTGCCATTGCTTGCTTAGAAATCCTTAGTTTTGTTAATGAAAAATTCGTTAAAGTTTTACAAAATATGAAATCAATAATAAAACAAATTCCAAATTTCAAATTTGGGCTTCCAGATGCCCATATTCGCAGCAGGATTACGTCATTCAAAATTGGATTCTAGGTACCGTTGTATTATCACAATGTGAGAAACATACATACATGTATGCGAATTTTTCATTATTTAATTTCTTCAGATATAATACAGGACGATACTATTTATTGACAACAGTTTTAAAAGTGAAAAGAACATTCAGAGTGATTCGACGCAAACAAAACTTTAACAATAGTCCTTCAGGCACAAATACACTTTAGACTAAAAACACTGAAAACCCACTAGCAACTATAGTAATTGTTATATACTATATGTTCTTGTTTTCAAATCTGAGCACCAATAATACCACGAATTTTTTTAAGGATCTATTACTATGTTTCACGGTTAAAATTATAGAAACTTGGAAAAGATATAGTACAACACTAATACTTTAATAAATATTGAATAACAAACATGTATGTTAAAAAATAAAATAATTTCAGGCAAAATTTTAAATTTTAAAAATGTTTACATAATTGTTATACCTTAACTGACATTGTTTTTATTATTCGCGCCCCACGAAAAGCTTTTAACTCATTTGCGATTTGATGACTTGGCCAGAAATACTTTTTAAGCTATCTTTATGTAGTATAATTTTTATTCTATTCACAAATAATAATAATAATTTTTAAAACTTTTAGGGGAGAAGAAATTTTATGCGGAAATAATAAAAAAAATCTCTGAGGGATATTTATATTTTTACAGCGGTAGATACTGTTCTGTTAAATATAAAGCATACAAATGCCCATGCGCTAAAACACGAGGTGTAAGGTAGGAGCATGTGGAGTTAGTTGTCTATTGTCTTTTGCCTACCACGGAGGAAAACCAAAAAAGTAACTCAACTACTCTTTAACTCCAACTTCTTATTATTTATTTTAATTTATTAAGTTTACATGAGCACATCAGTTTGCAATTTTGACATATCCATCATAATGTTTGTGACATTTACTGTCTGACCCTGAATGAGTGAAAAAGATGTAAAATGCACACCATGTTTCACTGATTCATACGTAATATCTCAAAATAACAATGACTATAAGCAACATAAACTGCAGTTATACATATCAGAATATTTTTGCCCCTCTCATAGCTGATGCCACAGATATTCCCTCTTTCCCTACCAACAACCTATCGAGAGGACATTCGGCTCGCTCCATATTTGAAGTGCCCTCATGCAGCACAGACACTATACATTTACAAACATCCATGACATTTCCTGGATTCGAGCCTGGGCCCTTCGTCACTGAAGTCAACGACGCTAACCACTATACCGGTTGGGCAGATATATTTACGTAATTAAATACTTAAATAGGGTAGACAGAGTAGATAAATACCTAGGTAAGTAGAATAATTTGGTTGAATATTAACACTGTGTATCTTTAAAGAACATAACTGTATTGTGCGTATGTATGTTATTCTACGAGACGATTATGGCTCTGCTTTAAGTGCGTGTCACGTAAGAATGTAGCTGTTTTTACTTCCTTGTACGAAGCAAAAAGGAAGTATTGTAATCGCGAAAAGTTTCAGGCAGCATATTTCAACGAAAATACCCATTTTGACCGCTATCGAATGCAATTTAACGATGTTTTTGCGTGATATCTGTACGAAAGGACAGAATAAAAAGACTCGTTTCCTCCAAAAAAAAAATGATAAAAAAAAACTGCTTTTTTTAAATTAATTCTGAAGAGAATTTTTCGTGGCGTCTGTACGAACGTATGTACGTACGTGCGTGCGTACGTATGTATCTCGCATAACTCAAAAACGAGTAGCCTCAGAACGTTGAAATTTTGTATATAGGACTGTTATAACATGTAGATGTGCACCTCGTATTTTGGTTGCAATCGGCCGCACCAAACGTATATAAATATATTTATATATATATATATCCACTCTGTTACCCGGCTCAGTGATCTCAGTTTCTTTACTCTTATATGTTTGTAAATTGTACATTTTTTTTTTTTTCCTTTAAAAATGATTCACTTATGTTGTTCTTATCTTCCGGTTAAGGTTTTTATAACTTTGTAAATCTCTATGCAATATGTTTAGAATTATCAACAATTTTAAAATTGTTTAAGTGCCGCTAAGCCTAATATATGTATATATATATATATATATATATATATTTTTGATGGCGGCCATTGCTTGTTTACATTTGAAACAGCAGGATAATGGATTTGTTGCCAATCTAGAGAAACTTAGCTTCGCAACAACAAAGATAACGCCTTCATTTATTATTCCGAATTAAATCATGCTTAGTCCTTTCTGGAATTTTTTCGAAGAAATAAGTGTTTAAGATTTACTTCGTAATTTTTAATACAGATCTTTCGAGTTTTTATGTATTTTTGCCTTGTCGTGAAGGGAGAACTGAATTAATTGAATGAGAAATACTCAATGGTCTGTCAAAAACTGTTTCTTTTTGTTTGTTTGTTTTTGTTTGTTTTGTTTGCTTAATTTCTTTTATACATCGTTTTAGCTTTATTATAGTATTTGAATAGAACATGTTGCAACGATTAGATAATTCTTTAAATGATATTAATTTTGTGAATTTTGAGTTATAATATGAACGAAATATAATACTGTTACGTGAACCTAGCGCCAGATTGTCGCTATGGTAAACAAATAGAGTGAATTTTAAAAAATACATTTATTCTATTGTGGTTTATGCGCTGTCGGCGAAGTAGATTTAATTCAATCCAATACGTTTAAATGAAATGCAAGAAAAAATGCGTATAATTTAATATTCCGTACAAGGAAGTCATGTGGTGTACACATCAGATTTTTTTATATATATATATTACGAAAAGACTATAGCTGTTATTAATGCGTATGATTTTTTCAAAATGCAGCGATTTTCTGAAAATTTAGATAATTTTTTTTTTTTTTAATTTAAGGTTGAAATGATTTTTTTCGCCCATGGTGTCGTTTATGAAGAAAATGAAAATCTCAGACTTTTATTATTTGAACCATCGAATAGAGCGGAAAAAATCTTTTTAAAAAGTTTTTCAAAATCTGTACATTTTTTACATTATTTTACGTAACAGAATTGTTGGAAATAAAAGAATGATTAAACACTATTGGAAAAGGATTTTTCAATTGAAAATTTCGATTGATAACAGGTCATTGAGACTAAAATGACGAAGGCGTTACGAAATAATCTTTTCTATCTATTTTTTTTTAAATTTCACTTTATGATATGAGTACTTCTTGCCGACTAAATTCTTCGGTAAATTTCAACCCATTGCTTCTAAATTGCAACCAAATCTTTCTATCTATTTTTAAATCCTGATTGCGTTAAACTCTGCTCCGCATAAGAATGAAGAAATTATAACGGACCTTTAAATAGAATGGAAAATTGAGTACATGTTTTAGAATAAAGTTTTCCTGGAGCGAATCTTATGTTACTTCTGGGAACAAGAAGATGAGGAATGAGGACATATTTACTTTCCTAGTTTTGCTTTTAAAGGTCAAAAGCGAATCGTCTGCAAAGGAAATGAGTTGTTTATTTATTATATTTTTTTTCAGTTTAGCATTTTTGAAATACTTATTTATTGCTTCCAATAACAATAATCTTTTTTAATTGTTTGTTGCGAACATTTTATAAACTAGAAATGCTAAAAAGTATCTGTGATATTACTTCAAATCTAAAATATACCTTTGGGGGAAACTACATTCATTAATGAAATTTAAAGTTTGATTTCTATTCCTTCATCTATAGTGTCTCACAAAAATGATGGGACACTTGTGCTTTACAAAAGGAAACTGTAATAAAATAAATTAAAAAAACATATGAAAATATTTTGTGGGTATGTTTCATACTTAAACTTAGTAACAATTATTACATAACATACATTTTCTCAAAATATTAAAATATTAATTTAATAAAAATACAATTGTTCAGAACTGAGCAAAAAATGGCTCACATAAGTGATGGATAACCATTAGATACTACAATAAAAATATTTTGGGGGTTTTTATTTTTACTCAAAAGCAATTGGCAATAATTTATAAATCGTCTGCAGTATTTCTCTCGAGTTTGTTTTGGAATTTTTGTGCTTTTTTAGCTCTGTGCAGCCATGAATGCTAAACGAAAAGAAACTTTGCCTGAAGTTCGAAAATTAGTTATTAATTTGCGTATTGACCGTAGAAAATCTATTAGACCAACTGCAGAAACAGTTAACTTGAGTTATTCAACAGTTTTCAATATCATTAAATGATATAAAAATGATTAAATGATATAAAAAGAATCACATGATTCAGGATAAAAGAAGACCTGGCCGACAATCAAAGCTATCCAATGGAATAAAGCGAATTATCGTTCGAAATATTAAAAAAAATCCAAGAATGAGTACTCCTAAAGTTGCTGCTGATTTACAAGCATTATATGGAGTAATTATTAATCCTGAGACTATTAGAAGAGTAATTCGATCCGCTGGATATCGCGGTAGAGCAGCCAGGAAAAAATTCTTCGTAAGTGAAAAGAATAGAAAACTCA